GATTGTGAGATCGATAGTGGTATTGGTAGTGAGATCGATTGTGAGACCGAATGGGAGATCGATTGTGAGATCGATTGTGATATCGATAGTGAGATCGACAGTGAGACCGAATGTGAGATCGATAGTGGGATCTATTGTGAGATCGATTGTGAGATCGATCGTCAGATCGATTGTGAGATCGATCGATTGAGATTGATAATGAGATCGATAGTGAGTTCGATAGTGAGATCGATGGTGAGACCGAATGTGAGATCGATTGTGATATCGGTTGTGATATCGATAGGGAGATAGGTAGTGAGACCGAATGTACGATCGATAATGAGATCCAAAGTGAGTTCGATAGTTAGATCGATAATCAGATCGAATGTGAGATCGATTGTGAGATCGATTGTGAGATCAATAGCGAGACCGAATGTGAGATCGATTGTGAGATCGATTGTGAGATCGATAGTCAGATCGATTGTGAGATCGATCGATTGAGATCGATTGTGAGATCGGTAGTGAGTTCGATAGTAAGATCGATCGAGTGCGACGTTGGTCCCTTCCCCCCCCCTCACCTCCTTATCACCCGAAGGGTGGTCGTATAGGTATCTTGAGGTCCAGCCTATCTGGGAGGATTTCAGAGCTTATCCGGATCGCTGGCATTTCTCTTGCAAGCGCACGCCGAAAAGAGTCTCGCCCATCGTCATCGCCTACGTGTCGTGGCCGAGCCATTGATACGTCATGTTTCGCATGTTTACGCTCCTGTTTTGTTTTCGCCGTCGTCTTTGCTGCGTTTCCAAAACGTCGTTTACGTAAGTTGTCTCATGTCGTAATTCACGTGATGGTTCACGGAGTGCCATTGGTCACTCGTCGCAGCTCGCAGCCCCCCAGGGGGCCGCCGCGAGGTCTCGGCCGATGTGCGTACCGCCCCACGTTGCTGGGCCTCCCAGGAAGCCCGCGGAAGTGGCGACTGTTGCGCCATGCGCAACCCCCCCCCCAGGGAGCCGCGAGGTCTCGGCCGCTGTGCGTCCCCACTCCACTCCGCGGGGCCTCCTGGGAGCCCGCGGAGGTGGCGACGGTTGCGCCACTCGCAGACTTCCAGGGGGAGCCGCGGGTCTCGGCCGACGCGCGTACCACCCCAGGCCCCCGGCCCTGCGGGCGCGCGCGCGGTCCAAAAAGGGGCCCACGATGTGGCCCCGGCCAGGCAATTGCGGCGGCGTCCTCGCCCGAGTTGTGTGATTTTGCCATCCAGGGCCTGCAGAGGTCCCGACTGGTCGGGGGTTCGTGCACGGGGGGGCTTCCGCTATGTCGGGCGTGTCCCCCTACAGGTAGATTTCCAACGAAAAAGTCAAAAACATACCCCCAAAATACCCCAAAGAGATCAAACAACCACCCAAACAATAGTCCCCAGGCGGCTATTTTTGGACTATGTTTGGATTATTTGTTGGGTATTTTCATTTCTTTCGTCGAGAATCCCCCCTGTACGGGGTCGGGCCCGACTTAGGGCTTCCGGTGGGGTTGGGGCACGAGCCCGGCTGGAGGCCCACATGGTCTTCTTCCGGGAGCCGTTTGGAGCGCGGTGCTCTTCCCAAGCCCACCTCCGTCCCTGCCCCACCTCGACTCGGCATCGCTCGGACGTGTGCAGCAGTTTTCCTTCGGCGAGGGCCATCGAGGAGCATCCTTGATCATTTGGCGGAAAAATCGGGCCGGGCGAAAGGGGGGGATTGGGAAAGGGGGGGGTACGAAATCTGATGCATGCAGCCGGTTTCGGCTTCACCGAGGGGCCCATTTCTCGATACATGGGCGCCTCCGGCGCCAGGAGGCGCCGGGGAAATCAGCTACGTGAGCTGATTCTCAAACCCCCCCTTTGCTATCCCCCCCTTTCGCCCGACCCGAAACAACCGCGCACGAAGCCAAGAAAAAACACAGGGAGTGGACGTCCGAGGAGCGATGGCCAGTTGATGCCCCCCCCTCCCCCCGAACTGGCTCCCCTGGGAGCATCCTTGATCGCCGAGGACCATCGAGGAGCATCCTTGATCATCGAGGAGCATCCTCGCCGAGGACCATCGAAGACCATCGAGGACCATCGAGGAGCATCCTTGATCATTCGGCGAAAAAAACCGCGCACGAAGCCAAGAAGAAGCACAGGGAGTGGACGTCCGAGGTGCGATGGCCAGTTGATGCCCCCCCCCCCCCCGAACTGGCTCCCCGGGGGGGGGAGCTTTGCGTCCAGGCTCTGGCCCCGAGGCCCGGCCACGGGGCCCCCGAGGCCGGAGTCGAGGTCAGCGCCCAGACTTCTCTTTCCAAACGCACATCTTTCAGGAGGGGAAAAACACACAGACACAATGATTCGTCGATTCCCAGAAAATATAAGAAAATATGGGAAGTGGGGGGGAAGACAGAAACCCTGAAAATGTGGGAACAAACATTGGGAATCCTTTTATTTGTGTGCATTTATTTGTGTGTCCTTGGGCCCCTTCAATCTTCGGAGGTCTGGGATTACGGCGCCTGCGGACAGGAGGTGCTTGCCCTGTGGGTCGAGGTCGCCTTCGCCGTCCGGTCCGTCCGCTCGGCGGAGGCGCGGGACCTGCAGGGGTTGGTGTCGCCCGCGCTCGAGCGCCTGCCTGGCATGGTGCGGGAGGAGATCCTGGTGGCAAGGGTGCTGCCCGCTCTGTCGCCGTACGCCTACGAGAGCATCGCCTTCCTCCTGGGCCTGGCGAAACTCGAGAAAGACAACCATCACAGGCATGAGCTTTCAGCGCTCTGCGCGGATATTTCTGATCGGCATCCAGGCCCCCTTGGCGGCGCCCAGCGCCGCCCCAGGCGTGCTCCGCGCGCCAGGTAGGGGGGCCCAGGGGCCCAGCGCCGAGGCAAGAAATCCTCGCGGAGCTCCAACCGTTTACGTTTGTGCAGTTTCGGCTCCTCCAGGTGAAGCACCACCCGCTAACGCAGAGCCGCGTGCGGGTGCTCAGGGTTCTGGAGAGGCACTCTCAGGAGGAAGAAGTCATGATAATGATACGTTCCAGGTTTTCTCTGGATTTCCCGAGTTCCAACATGGCCTGCTGTTCCCCACGGGCCAGCCAGGTACTCTTGGACATCCTGGAACGCACCCGTAGCCAATCCTATCATGACACCATTCCTGTCCTAGGCACGCCCGCGCGAGGCCCCCCGCGATGGCGGAGCGGCGGGAGATCGTGGAGTGGGCATCCCGGGTCGAGCAGCTGCTGCCCGGCGGGCCCGAGGGCGCGGAGGCTCTGCGCGAGGTGCAGCTGCTGGCGGAGCGCCGGCTTCCCTGGCACAGCGTGGCCCTCAGCGGAGACCAGGGGAGGAAGAGGTACCGAGGCCGCACCCTTCCGCGTTTCCGCGTGCTTGGGCCTCCAGGGAGACCATCGTCGCCACCGGTCTGGGGGCCATCACTGGGTCCCGGGACGGTCAAGCAACGATTCAGGATGAGAAGTCTGTCTTGCAGGGGGAGTAGGGCCACTTGAAGGAATGTGGTTTTGTCACACCAATTCGTTGCACAACGAAGTCGTTGTATAACGACTACCAAGTTCGTGTATACATATACATGTGCATATATTTATATATATATATATATATATAGATCGAAGCTCTGGCTCGAGCTTTTCAGAAATCTCCAGAGCGTGGACGATATGCCCAGCGTCCCGAAAGGCTGTTTTTTTTGTGTTACACACTGGCGGTCTACATGCGTCTCATCTGATGGAATCCGATGTTTCTGCAGGATTTCGACAAGCGCCTGGAGATCTCTCGTGGGCTAGCACACATTGATGCAGTACTCTTCTTAGGAATTCATACAAAGACCACGACCCCCTACGAGACACACTCATCGGCTGAGTTCCTCATGTTAAAGTTTGGTTTGCATCGCAATAACAAAAACACGGCAGGCAACAAATCATGCGGCACGGGGATATGGTTGAGCCGACGCTGGTTTCGGAAAGCACAGATTGTGAAGATATGGCAGCCTCCACCCGCTCTTCGAAACCGTGTAGGCGCTGGACGCGTGAAGAGTTTGCAGTTCGACTGCGCTTTTATCACAGCCTATCTTCCTCCGGGATCGCAGCGCCTCGCCACTGCCTCCAATAACGAAGTTATCATATACAAAATGCCCAGCTACCTGCACGACATACCCTCGAACTTGCCGAACCGAACTTGCGTGTTCATTGGTGCAGACCTGAACGACGGCTTCGAGCGTACCAACACCTACAGAGGACGACGACGCCACCATAGGTACGCACGCGCACGGGCAGCAGCACTGCACCCTCACATTTGACAAGCCCCAGATGACGCCGCAGTGGGACTACACCCTCATATTCTTAGCTTGGAATGACGAACGTTTCTTCGACTGGGCGAAGCAGCTCCGCGATGACATGCAATGGTTACCGTGACATAGCGGGCTGGGCAGAAAAGACATACGATGGAATCTGGATGGCAACACTGATGATCGATGATATGTGCACGAGTTCTAGAACATTTTGAAGCTAAGAAGTCCCCGATCGAATTAGAATAGCAGAAGCTTGCGCAGCAACGCCGACACGCCCTGCATGAACGCGCGCTCGCTCGGCAGAGTCTCAGGGACGACTTAGAGAGCGCGCTTGACCTCAGATGTTGCAGCGCCGCTTGCAAGGGAAAAAAACTGACGGCGATTGCGCGACCTCCGAGATGAGCAAAATTTTGCACGAACTCCAACGGGCTGACGAACCAGGACTGGAATCAGAGGTTTGGCGAGCTTGCCGACGCCTTGCTGGTAACGGTAAGGGTTTTGGTAAGCGATGCTGCTTCGATCTACCCGACGTTAGACCCTCTGTTTAGACATTGGCCGAATATATGGCACTTTCTGGCGCTGAAGGCGGCATGGAGGCAGCCCTGATTGATATCGCCCATTTTATCGACACCGCTGTTGCGAACGACAAACGTTTCTGCCTTACTACGCATCAGTGGAGACACGCCAAGTACGATTTCGACGCGATCAGGCAACAGCTACGACAGCATTGCAGACGCCGGCGGGCTGCTCCTGCATTGTTTCTACCTCCAGATAGTCGAATTCTCTTGCTCGCGGACAGACGTGAAGATCGGAAAAAAATGGTAGCCGAGAGCTCGACCGCGCGATGCTATTGCTTGGCCCCCTACTCGGCGATACGATTCCCGCTCAACTCGCTGCAGCTCGTCAACATCAACGGGTCAATGCATGGCGGAATCTATTCCAAGCTCATCAAGTACGCGAGATGGATAACGAGCCGCGTGCTCGAGGCACTCGACTTTTACATGGATTATGTTCGTTTGAAAATGCATGGGCTGGAGCAGGACAATTTCTCACATCCGCTCCGCTGGGCGACACAGAGCACGGCTACGCGAGGGCACGCTCGCGATCAGCTGCTATCACAGGAGGGCCGGCACTGCAGTGGCGGCTCACCAAGCGGCCACGGAGCCACACCATCACGATGCATGATGCGACGAACGCCTTCGCATCAGTGGATTACCCCTACCTCGGTGCCGCAGTGGGCAAGATGCACCTCCCTGGTGACTGCGCGATCATGAAAGGCAGACATCGTCGATCAGCATGTGTGATCAGCGACGGGGCTGACACTCAGGGCTACCAGAACACTGTGGGTTGCTTGGTGGGCGATGCCAGCGATGCGATAAAGTTCCGCGTGTCCTTCGCGCCGCCCACTACTGCTCGGAATGCTTCACTTACTACTGATGCGAGCACCTCGGCGATTGCGGGGCGCGAGTTCACTGGGACCCACGTCGGCCTTAGCGTTCGCAAGTACGCTGGCGACCTTACCAAGACTCACATGCGTCGCGATGCGCAGATGGCGGCCTACAAAGTACAGCGCTCCGACCAGATACGAACTACAAGCTGAGCACGACTGGTCTGCAACAGAACGCGGGGAACAAAGCTGCACGACCGACGATTTTTGGCACTGGCGCCCACAGATATTCACGAGCCCTACATTACCGCAAGGTATCTGTCGACGGCGAAGTCCATCTCTCGACTTTGCTCTTAGGCTGCATCACGCAGGCCAACGGTCACAACCGCGTCGAGGTCAAGGCGCGGTGCATTGCCGCTTCGCATGGCTGGCGTAGCATGGGGCGTTTCTGGAATACTTGCAGATCTCTTGAACGGCGCAGCGTGGTTTTCAGAAACCAAGCATCACCAGCGGCTACGTCTGGACCCGAAGCGCGTGTCCTGACAATGGCCCAGCGCGATCATATAGACGCGCGCGCGGCGCGACATGCACGCGCGCTCCTGCATGGCACCCCGCATATCAAGCAGCCCGCCGATGGCGACGACCCCGCGCCGCCTTCCCTGGACACACAGCACTTGCGTATTAAGCGATGGCAACGCGTTGAAAGCGAACCTGCACATCGCGCTCAACTGCTAGCTTGCGCAGTTGGAGAGCTATTCTGCGAGACCACGGCGACGATGGACATCGCCTGGGCCCCATGAGCGCTCAGATGGTGGAGGCCCAACTTTCGACCAGCCCGCGGCGCAAACAGTTATTTGATGATGCGAAGTTACTGCAGGCGCATGCTGACGGACGCGCATGCCTCGACGCTCTCGGAGCTGATTTGCTCGACATTTTCCGGCCGGCGCCAGGCCGAGATGATTTCGCCGAGCGCGCGATTGCACGCGTGCGAGGGCGGTGGCTGGAACAGTGCGCTCCACCGCGCAGTGCTCCAGATGCAGCTGCCTCCTGGAAAAGCCCCCAGACGCGCGGCCTCCTGCGTGGAGATGGCGCGTCATGCGTGCTCACGGCCGAAACAAAACAAGCGCTCCGAGTGCGCCAAACGATGCGCGGGGAGGGGGGCGAGCACGGACGAGCATGCGAACGCGCGCGGCTTACGATTGCCAACCAATGCCCTAACTGCCGCTCGACGTCCGCGATCTGACAGACTGCGATAAACCGTCTTGTTGCCGTTTATCGCCCTGGGCGACGCTAAGAACACCGCTCTGTTTGCAACTCCGATGTGAACGATCCGCCGCAGCTGTTTTGCCCAAGCGACGACTGCGAGCTCACCTTCGCCGCGCTCGGCGAGTTGCAAGCCCGCGTTGCTGCTGGGCACCCCCCAGTACCTCTCCTTGCGTTGCGGATGAATCCAATGCCCCGCGCTGGAGAGCCCGCAGGCGCAGCCGCGGCAGCAGCGGCGCCGCCAGCGAAGAAAGCGCGGCGACCAACAGAGCGGGTCGAAGTCCAAGCTCGCGGACCTGGACTCGCTCGAACTGGAGGAGATGAACGTGGGGGACATTCAGCGCGTGTTCCCCGCAGTCATGAAACTATTGCTCAACGAGGCGATGAGGCAGCGACAGACCGACGCCGCCTTGACCAAGACTTACCTCGTCTCCCCCAGCCCCAAAAGCATCGCGGCGATCCGAGCCCGAGCTCGTCGGGCGCGAGTGTAAATAACAAAACAAAAGACGAAGAGGTGCGCAGCGCGACGGCGGCGCCGCAGATCGACATGGCATGGCGAAGATCGGAGCGGTCAGCACCGCGGTCTTCGCAGGTTCGCACGACGGTTTTCATCAGGAAGGCGTGCCCGTCGGCGGTCTCAACCAGCAGCGCCTGGCTGCGCTCGGCGACAAGCTGGAAGCCATGGACATCATGCAGATCGTCGGGCTCGCCCTTCTCGCGACGGCCAGCGACGCTCACGACGCAGCGCAGTGCAAGCTTCAGCTCAGCCTCAACCCCAGGAGCGACGTCGACCTCAGCGCGACGCACGACTCACTCATGCAGACGGGAGCGAGCTACAAGCCAGGCCAGGGACCGGCGGTGCACATGGAGAGGACCCTTTACGCGAAGCCGACGCAGTTATGGGGGCGCACCCATGCACTAGACTTCGTCGGTTTCCATTGGACAACGCACAGTTGCGTGCAATGGGGCCCTTGTATTCCACAACATGCGGCAGGGATGGGCAATGGGGGCCTCTCGCCTGCATCAGGGAGTGCGCCTACTACTGCGCCAGTCGTTCAGGGCATGGGAAGCCCAACGCAACGCAGCTACGAGCGCGCATACTTTTTCGCCAGTTGTTCAGGGCATGGGGAGCCCACCTTTTACATCACAGAGTGCGCCTGCATATTCAGTTGTTCAGGACATGGATAGCCAACCTTACGCATCGCAAAGTACGCTTACGCCAGCTGAGTCACCCGATGGCACGAACTGCTCACCTCCTCTGATCTTTCGCAAGCATTTGAGCGCGCCGCTCACTCCGGTCGCATCGAGGGCCTTTGGAGGCAGAGGGCACCGTCCTCCGAGAGGCATTTCCTTTCAGGGCATGGGAAGCCCACCCTTACTACTACTACTACTACTACTACTACTACTACTACTACTACTATTACTACTACTATTACTACTACTA